AGCCTCTTGAGGAAGTTCATGAAAGAGGGGTTTGAAAAGCTGGCTTAAAGCTCAACATTCAAAAAACAAAGATTGTGGCATTCTGTCCCATCACTTCATGGCAAATAGATGGGGAAACAATGGAAACAGTGGCAGACTTTATTTTCTTGGGCTGCAAAATCACTGCAGCTGGTGATTGCAGCCATGAAATTAAAAGACCCTTGCTCCTTGGAAGAAAAGCTATGGTAAAACTAGACAACATGTTAAAAAGCAGAGATTTTACTTTGCCAACAAAGGTCCGTATGGTCAAAGCTATGGTTTTTCCAGTAGTCATGTATGGATGTGAGAGCTGGACCAAAAAAAGGCTGAGCACCGAAGAACTGATGTCTTCAAACTGTGTTGCTGGAGAAGACTCTTGAGAATCCCTGCACTGCAAGGAGATCAAACCAGTCAATCCTAAAGGAAATCAACACTGAATATTCATTGGAAGGACTGATGATGAAGCTGAAGCTCCAATCCTTTGGCCACCTGGTGGAAAGCGCCAACTCATTAGGAAAAGAACCTTGATGCTGGGAAATATTGAAGACAGGAAGAGAAGGGGATGACAGAGGACGATATTGTTGGATGGCATCACCGACTCAAAGGACATGAATTTGAGCAAACTCCGGGTGATGGTGAAGGACAGGGAAGCCTGGGGTGCTGCAGTCCATGGGGCTGCAAAGAGTTGGATACGACTGAGTGACTGAGCAACAACCATGTCCCACCCACAACACACACACACACACACACACACACACACACACACACTTCTTAAAACCAAAGTATGAAGAAATATAGTATATTTGGAGTATATTTTGTAGATTTAGAAATTTGGACCTGAGACCTTAATTTGTTGATCTGTTAATTTGTGGGTGAATGAGGTCCCATGGAAAAACTTCCTGCTTCTTGATTGTGTTGTAGATATTTTTCCAAGCTCTTAACTAGTTGGCTTTTTGGTTAGCTAGAGGTTCCCTGCTTTTAATAACTTACACATGAAGTTTCTGATCTCAGATATAACAGAGCTGTCTCCAGAGAGCTCCAGTTCAAAGAGTTTGGCTTCATTCATGCCCAGGTTGTCGTCGTGTTTGCCAAAACACGTGCTTTGTCTACAAAGGTAAAGTTCATACTAGCTTGCTGCCATCCTGAGTGCCTTCCACGTCTCTGAGTCTTGTTGGCGTCTGCCTCATACCTGCTCTGTCGGTTTTAATTCCAGTTCTCAGTCCTTAGGATATTGTATATGTGCTCAGTCATCTCCAGCTCAGTGCGACCCTATGTAGCCTGCCAAGCTCCTCCGTCCATGGGATTCTCCAGGCAGGAATACTAGAGTGGGTTGCCGTTTCCATTGGGATGTTATATAATAATAAATGAAAAAAAGTCAGAGGAGCTTAATGTGTGATGCATCTGAACTAACAGGCCCTGTCTTCTGGGGGGAAAATGAGTAGCCAAGCAGAGCACCTTGTGGGTGCTTATTAATGACAGCAAGGATGCCTGCCTCCCCCTAAGCAGATGTTGGGGACCTCTGTGCCGGTCACTGTGCTGCCACTGGGGTACCAAGATGTGGTCCTCAGTTCCTTCAGGAGGCTTCAGTGTAAACATCATAATGTGAGATACGTGCTATGATAAATGTGAGCCCAGGAGCATCAGCACCTCAGATTTGGGGGCAGTGTGGGCAGGGAAGCCTTCTCTGAAGCAAGTCTTCAAGGATGCCAAAGGCGTCACCACAGAGGCAGAGGCAGGCAGATGTATGCGACTAGTCCTGAAGAGCTATGTAGGTCAGGCCTCTGGAGAGGGATGAAAGCAGAAACGTAAGATACTCCATGCTGAGGAGCTTGGGCTTTATCCTGAGGGCAGTAGGAAGCCTTTGAATGGTTTTTAAAGGGAAATGCCAGGATGTTGTCTGTTATTAAAAATGCTGTTTTTCTAGCAGAATAGAGAGTGGATTGGCAGTAGGTGAAGTAGGAAGCAGAGAGACCCTAGGTGAGTTGCAAGACTCCAGATGAATAGTAAGGACCTGTGGGCTAAGGCAATACTGTGAAATTGAAGAAAAAAAACATTTCAGAGATGTGTCAAGGAGATGGACTGCAGAGAACCTGGTCACAATGACAGATATGGGAGAACAAGGGAGGAAGGAGTCGAGGGTGTTGCCCAGGTCTGTGGCTTGAGTGCACATTATACCCTTTATCAAGGGGGCCTCGGCCACTCGCCACAGCTAGAGAAAATCCACACACAGCAACAGAGAGCCCGAGCACCACAACAGAGACCCAGCACAGGCAGTAATAAACAGAAAGTGTTTTTAAAGAAGAGAATATGAGGGAGGGAGTAAAGCTGAGAAATTCTTTAGTTTGCATGTAACAAATCTTCTGTGTAAGAGCAAAAAGATAAAGCTACATTTTGAGCCATAACATTAATATTTTAAAACTGATTCAGGTATAAAAACAAAAAAATTTGTAATCATTGTGTTACTTTAAGTGCATTTTTAAAAGACTTAAGGAAATTTGCTTTGTTAGACTTACGAAAACATTATGGTTATAATATATGCTTAAACATTTGGAAAAATGCAATTGACTGCATAAAAAGTTTCTATTTATAGTTGTTAAGAGTTTGTAAATATTTGGACAGTTTTGTATTAAGGATTAAGCAAACATTGAATAGCAAACAAATAATAATAAGAGAGGGCTTGGGGGAAGGAAGGCCATGTTTGCTTGGAGAATTCAGGGGAGATGATTAGTTGGGGGAGGTGTGATGAATTTGAAGCTTGAGAGAAGATCAGGAGGGCATGCCTGGGTGGTCCAGAAGCTCAGGCAGGAGATGCTGAGATGCAGCTGTTGGCCTGTCCATTCGGTGTTAGGAGGACACTTTGGCATCATTAGAAGGGTCGGTGCTTTGTGGTATGGGCCCCCTAACGTTAAATTAGCTTTCTTAGAAGCCACATTAAATAAACATAATAATAACCTCAATTTCAGTGTTGTTTGGAATTGGTGGACATGTGAGATGAGCTGAAATGACTTTTAGTAGAATTCAGCAGAGAAAGTTTGGTCCTCAGGGTGAATTTGGATTTTTTTCTTCATACTTCTTGGGGTCCATGGTTGGAATCTCAGTAAAAAGACTACTTAGAGGCTATATGAGCAAGGAGAAGTAAAAAGGCACTTTACTCGTTCTTTGATCTCCCCAGTAACACTGCAAGGTGTTACTGTAAAAAGTCCCATTTTATGGATAAGAAGACTGAACCTCTGAGGGTTACCTGGCTTTTGTGTGCATGCTAAGCCGCTTCAGTCATGTCCAGTTCTTTGTGACCCTGTGAACTGTAGCCTGCCAGACCCCTCTGTCTATGGGATTCTCCAGGCATTGCCATTTCCTTCTCCAGGGGATCTTCCAGACCCAGGAATCGAACCTGGGTCTGTATGTCTCCTGCATCAGCAGGTGGGTTCTTTACCACTAGCACCACCTGGGAAGCCCTGCTCACCTTATAATAATAAATAGTAAGGGGCAGAGATGTGACTGTGACTCTAAATTCCATTCTCTTTCTGCTACACAGCACTGAGTTAAACATATCAGGCCTGTGAAATCCTGGGATAGAAAAGTTGTGTTTTCATTGAGGAGAAGATATTTTTTTTTTGGAAATGATGTGGCCCCAGGAGGTTGATCTGGAGCATGGCTGATTCAAGCTGATATATGGCAGAAACCAACTCAAGCTGATATATGGCAGAAACCAACTCAACACTCTAAAGCAATTATCTTCCAGTTAAAATTTTTTTAAAAAGAGCAACACTCTCCTTGGATCACCCTAGATGAGTTCCTCTGATATACCCCCGAGACCCCCCTCCCCTGCCCACGTTAACAGCCCTCAGACTCGGCATTTCCGGTGGTACCCGGTCTAGGTCTCTCTGAGAGGCAGCACTTAGGGCCTTGCTTTTGATTCTCCCTTGCCACCCCCACCTCCCACCCACGGCAGCTGGACAGATTCTTTCGCCTAAAGCATCAGGCAGGCAGGCTGCTGCTCCGTAACCTCTGATGGCTTCTCATCCCACTTGGAGTATAGCCCCTGACCTTCAGGCCCTCCTGTGCCCTGGCCTTGGGCTGTTTCCCTGACCCTGTCTCTGACCACCCTCCCTCAACTTGAGCCACGATGACCTTTGGGCCATGCCTTGGACTCTGAGAGTGCCTTAGCAACACCAGTGGGCTTTGAAACTTGCTGGCCCTCTTCCTGCCCTGCCTCTGCCCACATAGCGCTGTGACGGACACTCTCACATGAGGTCTCTGCCTCTCTGCGTGGCCTTCCTGTCTAAGATAGCAGCCCCATGCTCTGTCCCTTCTTCTTCATTTCTTCATGGCACTCATTTTCTATTTGTTTATTGATACCTCCTGCCTGTGAGCTCCATGAATTCGGGGGCTTTTTTCTGTCCTGTTACTTGTACCTCTGGCTGCTGGGACGGTGCCTGGCCCACAGTATGCATCTGGGGGGGTTGGCTGACCGATGGAATGAATACATGGACGCCCCAGGCCTGATGGAGAAGGGATGGAAAGTGAAGGAGCTATCACCGGAGGATCTGGATAATGAAACAGTGTCTTAGTCTCTCCTCTGTGGTTAGCATTGCTGGTTCCCTAAGTCTTCTCATCTGGAGGTATTAGGAAACCTCCCCACATTTCCCTGGGTTAGAAGCAGACTTCCTGCTCTGATAAGGATGGAGATGATTTTTTCCTGTAACCTACAAGTGACCAGGAAAGATGTGCTGCCCAGTGCTTGCGTGGGGTTCATGTCCGACCCCTGTCCACCCTTCAGCCTCTGGCGGTCACTCACAGGAACGTCAGTGTTTGTACAGCTTGTGGAAAGTACCTCCTGCATTGTGACTTTCATTGGAAGGAGGCTTTCTCTAAGAACTTGATTAGAGCTCTGTCTGCAGGGTGTCTCAAACAGAGGATTTCTTGTTGGAGATTTGAACCTGAGCCATTTTCAGTGCATTTTTCTGTTGTTCTCCCTATAGGATCTTCTACGTCTCTCATGATTCCCAAGACTTGAAGATCTTCAGCTATATTGCTCGAGATGGTGCCAGCAATGTCTTCAGGTGTAACGTCTTTAAGTCCAAGAAGAAGGTAAAGGGGTTGTTTTTGGTCATCTCTTCCTCTGATGGAAGCAGGGCATTCCCAACATTGACCTGTCTCCCTGTTGATGGAGAGGCAAGATTTGGAGGTGGCTATTTGAATGCAAGATACAGGGCACCTCTCTCACTAGCCAGTCATTGCTTGTGTATAATGAAATTCTCTTTCAGTTTCATTTGAACTTGGTACTTAGTTGTATGCAAACAACCGGAGAGATCTCAGCCACTGGAAAAGTGCTCTGGAACACAGCAGGCAGACAGCACCAGGAGTGATGCTCATGTTGGTGTGTGGTAGGAAAGAAGGTTGTCACTCACTGAAGTGACCCTTCACTGTAATTCTGTATTCTGATCAGTGACCTCCAAATATGATATGGTGGGATCTAGTTAGACTTTGTGATGTTGGTTGTCCTGGATGGTTATTTTGGTACAGTAACCTTGATGCTTGAGTAAATGCAACTTTTGCAGTTCTGTAGAGACAGGGTTCCTCTCTATCATGCCTCCAGGAGTCTTAATGCACAAAACTGGGGTTTGGAAGCCTGGGCTGTAACCCCTAAACCTGGGCTGTAACCCCTCTTCTCTCCTGGACCCCTGAACGATGTCCTGAGGGTCAGCATCCCCCTTAGGTCTCAGCTTCCTTCTCTATAAAATAAGGAGGGGCGTCAAAACCAGCATTTCCTGTATGTATCCTGTAAAACATTGACCATCCAAAACATATAATATGTTAACATTTAACACATTAAAACTATTTAATTTAAATGTGCTAGAAAGTCCTAAGTTAGAGAAATCCCTTTAGTTTTAACCCAGCATTTCTCAAACTGAATTGGCCATGAAATCATATTTTTTCCATGTATATGTGTTAATGTCCTGGGAATGACTTTTCTGTAGAAGAGAATTGCAAACTACTATTTGTGTCTGTAAGGTCCCTGACAGGTAAAGGTGGAATGGTAAGATTCTTACCACTCTTGACACAAACCAGTGACCCTGACTTTCTAGAGGACTACTTCTGAATTCTCTCCTGCTTGTCCCTTCTCTGATGTCGTGTGACATCTTAATGCATCTTTTGTCCTAAGACATCTTTAGTAGATTGGTGGGTGCTGTGCCAAGCGGGGATAATAAGAATAAAACGTGACAGGGTCGGGACTTACTATAATATTATATATGTCCCGTCTTCCGCCCTGGCTCCACAGAGAGAATTATACTTTGCTGATTTAGCCTCTTCCTCTAAGGAGATGTGTGCCCTTACCCACCTACTCTCAGGCTTTTTAATGCAAACTGTGGAACTGAAGGGAAAGAGCCAGAACTGGAAAGGTAGAAGGAAGAACGGGCAGGTTGCCAGATTTCACTTTTAGGTAATAGTACAGTTGAGAAGGGGAAAAAATGAAAGTAGGTTATGAAAGAACTGATAGGAAGAGGAGGAAGTGTTGCCGGAAGGGGTACCCTTCCAGGGCCCAAAACTGGGCTCTGGTCTAACGCTCGGAAATGAATTGTCCGAGGAGACATATGTGCTGACAAAGCAAGAGATTTTATTGGGAAAGGGTGCCTGGGCGGAGAGCAGGAGGGGAAGGGAACCCAGGAGAACTGCTCTGCCACATGGCTTGCAGTCTCGGGTTTTATGGTGATGGGATTAGTTTCCAGGTTGTCCTTAGCCAATCATTCTGACTCAGAGTCCTTCCTGGTGGTGCAGCCTTATTCAGCCAAGATGGATGCCAGAGAGAAGGATTCTGGGAGGTGGTTGGACAGGTGGTGTCGTCTCCTTTTGACCTTTCCTGAACTACTTTTCTGATTGGTGGAGGTTTATTAGTTCCCTGTTCCTTACCAGGACCTCCTGTCATAAAACAACTCCTGCAAACGGTTTCTATGGTGCCTGGCCAGGGTGGGTGGTTTCAATCAGCGTGCTTCCCCTAACAGAAGGAGAAGGGCAGAAAGAAAAGCCAGAGGGACTGGAGATGAGAATTTAGGGGTTGGGAGATGGAAAAGCACTTGTGTGGTTTTGAGGTGTAGTGGATCTCGGAAGGAAGGAAAGGAAATGCAGAGTGTTCCTGAGACTTACGAACTGGATCGTCTGCAGTGCTCTTCAACAGAAGCAGAGACTAGGATTCCCTTTCACTCATTTTGAGTGCTCCACCGTACGTTTAGTTTTGTCCAGAGCCTGGACTGTGTGAATCTGGGACTTTAATTAAAGTTACAAATAGCATATTTAAATTTACAGAGTGCTTTAATGTTTAATCTTACTAGATCCTTCCAAAAGCCCACGTGAAGAAGTTAAGATGGCAGTTTTCATGGGATAAGTAAATTGAAAGATTAAATGACTTGCCCAAGGTCCCATGAACAGGCACTGGCTGGCTAGGATCAGGGAGACATGCGGAACAAAAGGATTTTGAGCAGGAACCCCAGGTAAAGGAGATCGTTGTCTTTGCTTTGCCGTCTCCTCTGGTACAGTAGCACGGGCACAGTGGGGTCGTCCAGTCCTTCTGCCAAAACCCGAGCCTGAGAACAGTGCCCCCTGGACTGTGATCTTGAAGAGAAGCACAGAATGAAGTTCATATTACCCAGTGACAAAGGAGTAGTCATCTGGTCCCCCATCACGCCAATTTTGTCCATGTCTCAGCGCCAGTGCTGATCTCTGGCGCTCTTATTTTCTGTCCCTTTTGCCCTCACCTGCTGAGACTGTAACTCTTCCGAGCTGGTTCTCAGGCCCTTTGTTGGCCTGTAGCCACGTGGCTGAAGGAATTGTTTACAGACAGCCTGGGCTGTGAGCCCCATTGCTGCTGAACTATAGGTGGAAGGGCTGGTTTCCACGCCAGGAAAGAAAAGTGAATTAATTGTTCAGCAAAGGAAACAGAGTTGGGGAGGAGTGGGACCACGTCTGCAAGGTTTTGCAAGCTTATCCTGGTTAGTCTCCAGATCTGGTGATTTACTTTCTTACAAAGCATTTCTGGTTTGGAGAGATAATAGTTAGCTTGGGAAGGAGTTTTAATTGGCAAATGGTAAGAATACTTAAGGGGTGAGGGGGAAAGGACTAAATGCCCTGAGTCAGTGTGTCTAGTAGGGATGTTTCTGGTTGTTCTGGGTCAGTAGGGAGGTCTCTTGACTGTAGCTCAGCAGTAAAGAATGAATTCCTGCAATGCAGGAGCCACAGGAGACGTGGGTTCAATCCCTGGGTCGGGAAGATCCCTTGGAGGAGGGCCTGGCAACCCACTCCAGTGTTCTTGCCTGGAGAATCCCATGGACAGAGGAGCCTTGGGGTTGCAAAGAGTCAGACAGGACTAAAGCGACTGCGCACATATGTGGAGGGCTCTTGACTGGAAGCCAGGGGACCTGGGTGTTCTCCAGGGCCTTCATGTTGATCATAGTGTAGGGAAAACGTCCATGAGCTCCTTGCTTAGTTAAGGCTTGCTTATTGCTCTTCACGTCATGTCATGTCATGTCCCCAGTGTGTCGTCATGGCATTTCCCATGACCGGCTTCTCATGCGGGTCATCCATCCCTTATAGTTCACCATGGGAGATGTGATTGTCTCTTCTGTAATTAATAATACGGATCAGATTCTCAAATATCCTGGTAGATGACCTTCCTGCACCTGGCTGCCAGCACCGTGGTTATTCTATACCTATGGATCTTCCTTCAGTTACCCACGTAGCCAATGTGGTTCTCATCTTTGGGACTTTAATCTTGAGCTGATTTTTTTCAGTTGGGCCTTCATCAGAAGTTAGATAGCAGAATATTGTAGGGAGGTAATATACTATCAGTCATTCATCTATCACTCTATATTATCCATCCTTATATTATTAAGTCAAATAATATCCAGTCAGTTGAGTTACTTGCTATGTGCTTGTGACTATTCTAGACTCTTCATTTAAATTAGCTTACTTTATTCCTTCAGCAGCCCTGTGAGCTGTAGGTCCTATGATGCTCTTCGTTTTACGTGTGAGAAAATGGAGGCTTAAGGGATGTAACTCATAACAAGTGGTGCAGAGGCTTCCCTCATGGTCCAGCGGTTGGAACTCTGAGTTAAAGCTGCATGAGGCTCAGGTTTAATCTTGGTTGGGGAACTAAGATCCCACATGTAGCACACACCCCCACCAAAATAAAAAGTGGTGGAGTTGGAACTATATCTAGAAAGTCTGACTCTGGAGCTTACCTCCTTCACCACTGCATTTTATTATCTTCATCAGGAAATTGCATGACTGAGGAGTAACCTATTTCTCCATCGTCTACTGGTAAATGAATTATACTGTAATTGTTATGGGGGTATGAAGAGCTCCTTAACTCTGAATGGTCCAAGTCATTTTGACACAGATTTTCCTTTTTTTTCTCTTAATATCGTTGTATGATTAATCCTGACTCCACTTTATAGTGGGAGAAAGAGAGGGCCCAGGAAAGTAAATACCACTGGTCACACAGTGAGTCAGCAATGCCCCTGAGATAAGAACCTAGCTTCCTGCTTCCTAGTCCAAGCTTTGGCCACTTGACTCTGTTACATGAAATTCATAAAACATATGTGAGCCTCTCTGCGTCTGAGTTTCTCCAGGTACCAAATAAGATGAAAGGCATCCCAGGAATGCTGATCTGTGGGTGCGGAGTGAGGTGTGACCTTCAGGAAGCAAATTCCGTGTGACTAGGAGGGATCACCAGGATTGTAGTGGGGAGATCCCAGCACTGTTCAGACCAGCGCCAGAAGGGAAGGGTTGGAAGAGAGTCTCTTCCTCGCCCGGAGTGTTAGTGACACTTCCTAGCAACACGGCTTTCCCATTTCCCTCCTTCGGGGATGTAATAACAGTATTCGTTTGCAAGGCCTTTTGCCTCCTGCGAAGCCTCTGTGTGTTCTCTTGACCCCTCTTGTGTAGTGGATGTCCCGCTCCTGCCATATGCTCCCAGCCCCAGGTGGATGTGGCTGTCTGCCCTGATTAAGTGTGACTGTACTTATTAGCGCATCAGTGCGTGAAGTGCTGGTGATTAACAAGAGCCACAGGGATCTCCCCATTATCTTCACGGG